TTATTTTAGATATTTTTTAACAGAACATGTAAAGATTTATATGTTTCATAACTGATCACTTAATTTTTAATATAAATATACGTATTTTATACATACATTTTTGCCACTGCTAATCACATGAATAAAAATCATAAAAATGAAAATATAACAGCAATATTTCTTGTTTATAATGGATTAGATCCATCGCACACCACGGACTTTATCGGCCGCCAATTTAGATGTGCTCGCTGGTCTTTCCATTGCACCACAACTTATTGGTCAGAGCGATTAAGCTGGTGTAATGTGCGCACCTCCATACATCTTCATGTACATATTTCAAGTGAGCCCTATCATTTAAATAGGCGGCCGATAAAGTCTGTGGTGTGCGGTGGCTCTTATAGCTGTGTCCTTACATCTATGCCGTGTGTTGCAATATCCACGAAAGCAGCAGTTAATTTTTTATGAAGAAAATTATTCCAATATATTCGAAAATTTCTCTACTTATATGTTTGGCTTTTCTTTGTTTTATTTTTCCAACGTCAAAAGCTGGATTTTTTTTTTTTTTAAAGTTGGTACAACAAAAAATACGAAACACGTTTTGTGTCAGATAGCTAACATGGCGGATAAGAAGAAGAAGTGAAACTACCTTCTAAAAATTATTGTATCATGATAACGCCCATACGGGCAAAAGTGCCCATGTCTGCTTATAAATGTTAAAAATAATGCCGCTGCTGCGCATTTCGGGTAGGTATCTTAAATGTGCACTTAAGCATAAAAACAGCAAAGCAAAATATACTGTAGATCGGCGCTTACACATATGTTAGTGTTTGGCCGAGATTCTCCTCCGATTTGTGGCGTGCGCCTTGATGTTGTCACACAAAGTGGAGGGACCTACAGTTTTACGCCGACTCCGAACGGCGATTTTATTTTTATGAGAAGTTTTTTTTCATGGCAGAATTATACTCGGAGGTCTGCCATTGCCTGTCGAGGGGCGACCGCTGTTAAGACCACAGCGGCCGCCACCTTTAAGCTGTTGAATTATTGAGCTAAGGGCCTATGGAACTTTCTGTAGTTAAAGTTAACTAATAATTTCAAATCGTTAGGTTAACGGCAATAAATATACATGGCTGAGTTGGGATAGTTTGTCTGATAGCGCTTGGCTGAGTTAGTACAAATTAGCAATAGTTCATCGAGTTAGGATAGTTCATCGAGTTAAGATAGTTCATCACATGGCGTTTAAGATATAACATATTGATATCTATCTGTTGAGATAAAGTAGCCATCAATTTGTACTTATGTGATTTTTTTGTTTTAATGAAATTTAATAATTACCTTGCAGCGTGTTTGCTTTGAGATGTTGCACTCAGCATTGGGATGTTGGGAACAATAACAACATCATCTTCCATCCCTACTGATAAGTCCTCGCGAAAGACGTACATTTTTTTCAAGTTATAACTTAAGGTACCATTTTCGTTTTCGACAATGTTGACTTTCTCCCACGCCTCTCTATAAAAATTAAATAAAACAATTGTTACAAAATTTCATGCGCACAAATACATATCGGTAATTTGCTGTAAAAAATACAAGAACCTATGTAGATAAAACCCTTTGTAAGCATTTTACTCAGTTATGTATTTTCGCACGGAATAAAATTAAAGAAAGTACTTAGAAACTATGATAAATAGGATCGAATATATGGCAAATTCTAAGAACCAGGTAAATTTTGTGCTATTTAACTTTATTTTCATTGCTGTAAACTATATCACGCTGGTTGCTTTTGGATATAATTCATAGACCTATACTTAAAGCCTCAAAAAAATGTTTAACCAATTTGTTGCATAACTTTTGAGGTATAAAGTCAGTCAATAAAGTTTAGGTACAGCGAATTTTTTACAATACGGGCAACTATTTTCTAAATATTTTATTTTTCGATAATTTTTTATAAAAATATGGTCAATTCTACAACAAAAACCCGAAAAATCAGAGTTCCAAACCTTGTGCAAAATTAAAGAAAATTCGGCACTTTTTATTTACGCTCTTTAGAAAGAAGTTGAGTATGCAGTTTTTTAGCCCATTCAATTTTAGTATAGCAAAGTGCAAGTTTGCGTCGGCCGCTGTGGTGTAGTGGTAAGCAGTGCGCGCTTTCATTCATCAGCACCTGGGTTCAAACCCTGGTCAAAGCAACATCGCAAAAAATATAAAAAAAAGGTTTTTTCTTAACAGCGGTCGTCCCTCGGCAGGCAATGGCAAACCTACGAGTGTATTTCTGCCATGAAAAACAGCTTCTCATAATAATACAATCGCCGTTCGGAGTCGGCGTAAAACTGTAGGTCCCTCCGCTTTGTCTGACAACATCAAGGCGCACGCCACAAATCGGAGGAGAAGCTCGGCCAAACACTAACATATGTATGTGTAAGCGCCAATCTATTATTATTATTATTAAAGTGCAAGTTTGTGGTGGTTAGGACTTACCATTGATTTTTAGGAATTTTTTTTGTTGAAGGTGTCGCTCATTTTCTCTATATAAAATAATGTTTGATAATTTTTTTATATGGAAAAAATGTGCGACACCTTCAACAAAAAAATTTCCCAAAAATCAATGGTAAGTCCTAGCTTCCTCATACTTGCACTTTATTATACTAAAATTGAATGGCCTAAAAAAACCGCATACTCAAATTTTTTCTAGAGAGCGTAAATAAAAAGTGCAATATTTGAATGAAATTTTTCAGAATTTTCTTTAATTTTGCACAAGGTTTGGAACTTTGCTTTTTGGGGTTTTTGTTGTAGAATTAACCATATTTTTATAAAAAATTAGCGAAAAAGAAAATATTTAGAAAATAGTTGCCCGTATTGTAAAAAAATCGCTGTACCTAAGCTTTATTGACTGACTAAATTCAGAAAAATATTAAAAACAAGTGAATTTTTTGTGTAATTTTCAAAAGATGAAAAATAATTATGTAATAACTTTTGAAGCACAGCATACTTATATTGGTTTGGCATTTTATGTGCAATTAGTACTTATGTGTACATTTACAAAATTTCAAAATTTTCGATTTATTGCGTATAGTTTTTGAAGCATTTCATTTTAAAAACTTTTTCAGTATGTATTGTTTTCTACAACAATTACTAATGATATGATACGTTAGCAGGAGGTGTGCTTTGAGAATAAACCAACTTTTAAAGATAAAAAATTATGCGATCCTGAGCGTAAATTTTATTCCAAAAAAATCTTAAATCTTTTTATAACTGCTAGACCTGATAATGTTACATATACCTGTAAAATGCTTCAGAAAAATGTTCTCTCGAAGTGTGTAAAAACCCTGATTTACTACTTTTAATGATGCTCCTTCTTGAAGTCAAAATATTTCGAGCTGGTATCAAAGCAAATTTTTTTCCACAAAAGTTCTGATAGTTGCTCATACTTAATTGGAGCCTTCTAAATCCAAAGGCGTCCTCAGTTTTGCCTGATTGGGTCCACTTTTCGAGATAGCGTTACCTGAAAATTTGCCTAAATTTTAACTCTTTTATAAAAAACTCCCTCAGTTTTGAAGAGATTTTACTAAAATTTTGCACACAACCTTTTTTAATATTACCTTAACTACTCCATAAAATCATCGAAATCAGTTCACTCTAACATCTTGGTCCCATACAACTGATTGATCAGAGACGTTGTTTTGCGTTATAACTGCTCCAATTAAGCAGGTACAAATTTTTTATAAGTTCAATTTAGCATATAGCACGCATACAATTTATTATTCAGATATGAAGTTAGAGTTAAAGCGCAAAAACACATATCTGAGTAATCCGTTGTATTGAAGCTATATGTTAAAGTGAGCCTTTTTAGATAATTTTAAGGAATAATAATAAAATTTTAGTAAAATAACTTCAAAACTGTGGTACTGAGTTAAAATTTATTTAAATTTTCATGTTCCGTTATTTCGAAAACCGAAGCCAATCTGGTAAAACGGGGTTGCCACTGAGTTTAGAACGTCACAATTAAGTGAGTTCAACTTTCCAAATCTTTGCTCAACGGTTACAACTTGCGCAGCATAATTTGAACACAAATTACTTTTTATACCCGAGCGCACTTGTGCACACGGGTATTATAATTTTGTTCACATAACGGTTGTTTGTAACAGCCAAAAGAATCGAGATAGATATAGACATATATATACATAAATGATCAGAATGAAAAGAGAAATCGATTAAGCGGTGACTATCCGTCCGTCCGTCTGTCCGTCTGACTGTCCGTGAACACGATAACTCGAGAAAAAATTGAGATATGTCAACAGAATTTGGTAAGTAGGTTTCCCTTTATCCAAGGTAGGTTGGGATTGAAAATGGGAAGAATCGGACAATAACCACGCCCACCTCCCATATAACGGTATTTTCGAAAATGCAAAAACTACGATATTTCCGCAAATACTGGATCCAAATTGTTGAGAGTTGGTATGCGAAGTAGAAATTTGGCATATAATAAGACAGTTATGAAATTTTTGGAAAATTGGCGTGGCCCCGCCCACTTATGATAAAAAGCTGTATCTCTGTAGTCCCTCTACCAATCCCCACCAAACTCGCTGAGAACATTTCTTAAGGCTTGACTAAGAAACCTGTTGAAAATTTTTGAAATCCGACAAGAACCACGCCCACCTCCCATATAACGGTAATTTACAGAAATACAAAAACTGCGATAAATAAGTAACTATTTAAGCTAATTTACTCAAAATCGATATATGCAATAACCTCTTAGCAGAAAATTATAATTAGGGAAATTTTTGGAAAATGGGCGTGGCACCGCCCACTTATGCCTACATATGTGTATCTCGGAAACCGGTTTACCGATTTCTACCAAACTTGGCACATTTATCAACCTTGGCGTGAAAAAGCAATACGCTGAAAATTTTTGAAATCGAACTAAAATGACTGCCACTTACCATATAACGGTACATTTCAGAAATACGAAAACTCCGATTTTTTAATAAGCTAAGACGCCAACTTAAAACAATCACTTAACAAGACACAAGATGATTGATTACTTACTACGTAAGTGTATATTGATAACCGCCTTACCGATTTCCACCAAATTTGGTCCAATTATTTCAATAAATTATAGTATATTATCGAAATGTTTGGAAAAATACTCTTGCTTATCATGCAGTTTACTGAAAGGTGAGAAAACGATATTTAATATATGCGCCGGGTATATAATGTTCGGTTTCGCCCGAACTTATACTTCTTTACTTGTTTGTTTTCTATTTCAGCGATTTAAATGTTCATTGCTCGTCTAAATTTTGAAGCACTTGAGGAAAATGAATTACACTTATTTTTTGTTGGGCTGGGAACGCTATCTCTGCACGCAAAGAGACTATAAGGGGCTAATTCGCTCTGTGCAAATCTAAGTGTTCAAACAAAAACCCTGTTGACTGAGTGGGTTACGTGCTCCAAACATCCTATACGACGAAAACTCCGTCAGACCGAGAGCTTTTCTTATAGTGTTTTCTCACTTCCCGGTTACCAAACTTGCACAGTTCTGCAGTCAGGACTTGGTGGCAGCGAGGTTGAGCTTCGAGGGCAAAAATGGGTGGCAACACTTCATTATTGCCTCCGCGAACTTTCCACCTCTACCGGAAGGCGACTAGTCTTGTGGAATATTGCAAGAACAGGAACGTCGGGTTGGTCCTTTGCAGTGTTGCCAAAAAAAATTTCGTTTGGAGCTGAAACGGTCGATGAAAAGAGCCAAAAAGAGCTAAACATTACTAATAGTAGCTAAAATGAAGAGCTATTTTTTTAACTTGAGCTTTTACTGACGTAAAGTTGTTTTCACATTTTCCGCAATTTTAATAAAAGCAACGAATTTTATAAGTTTAAGGTATGAAAAAACTTTTAAAACCAAAATAAGGGGCACATAATAAAAATAATAATCATAATAATAATTATGCCGACTCCGAACGGCGATTGTATTTTTATGAGAAGCTGTTTTTCATGGCAGAAATACACTCGAACGTTTGCCATTGCCTGCCGAGGGGCGACCGCTGTTAAGAAAAAACCTTTTTTCTACACTTTGATGTTGCTTTGACCAGGGCTTGAACCCAGGCCCTGCGGAGTGGAAGCGCGCTCTGCTTACCACTACACCACAGCGGCCGCCGTATGTATTAATAATTCATTTATATGGCCATTAGCGCACACAAGGGGTGGGTTTTGGGGTTCAAACCCTCCCTAAAGCTAATAACCTCAAATACAAGCTGTATCTTAAAGCTTAGAATCCAGCTCTCAAGAAAAATCACTAGAGAATTTTTTTTTATTATTTCTGTTGATTGAAAAAGCACTTTGCTTTTGCTGCATGTTTCAATAATACAAGGTTGTGTAATTTGTGACAGCTAAAATTTGACACTCCTTTATCTAGATTTGTATTTTGGAAGTAGGAGAAAGGGGAAGGATGTGATCGCATTTTGCGAAAACGGTAGTAGAAAGGTACTAAAAAAGTGCGCAAAGTATACAATTAGAAG